TACCTCCGAAGTCTACCTTATCGCCGTATTGACAAGGTTGTGATCTGGAAATTCACAGCAGATCACCAAAGTTCAATATTAATAATTTGTTAGTTTAGACGCTTGTACCCCGTGGCGTGGCTCAACGTATTTTGTTACTACGACCTGACGCGCCAGACAGATTCACGTGAGTTAACCAAGCAAGCTTGTCACTAAGCATATTATGTCTCCGCATGCGAGCGGGGGAAATAATCTGCGCACCGTCGAGATTTGTGTGTGTGTGTGTGTGTGTGTGTCAGTGCAAGATTACATAATTTTGCTTGTGGTTTGATGGCGGTTTAAATATAGTTCAACTGTACAGGTACACCGACCGAAACCTGCGACATGGTTACCTCAATAAAATAACCCTAAGTAAAAGACACACTCCCCAATTAAAGTGGTCGATAGTTGACATATATTCATCCATACTTGAACTCTATGTTTACATTCCATGAACAATAAATAACAATACGTGAGTTTCTTGATTTGCCGTAATGAGGTATATTGAGCACAAGTACTAGTACGATATAAGTGTTGATAAAATGTCATAGGGATCAAGTTTTCAAAACTTCACTCCATCTACGAGGTTGATAAGAAGTACACTGGATAAATTGTACTTTTTTTTTCTGAAACACACCGACTTTCTGAAAATATCTTAGGTCAGAATTTGAATTTATCATGTGTCATATTACTGGTAAACACCCGACGGTCTTGCAACCTCGTAAAATGGGGCGTTCGTGACAGTTCCGATATCGTTTATTTATTACATGCATTTAGTAAAAAACAAGGATCCTGCTAAATGTTTCATGTTGTTCGTCTTTTTATTTCACGTTTAACATACGAAAAAACAAACAGATCTAACTTATTTAATAACATCTAATCACAATGCATGCGATACATCATAGCCGATCACACTGTACGATTACCAGTTTTTCTGCCAACTACCCCCCCCCCCATTAGATTGATGGACTTTTTTCGTGAAAATATTGCGTCTTATGCGAGTCTGAGGACGTTGGATATATTAGTGGAATAGTTCTTTTGTTATGCGCTCGATATCGTATTTGAACATTTTTGTTATCATTATGCGGGACGGGGGTCAGATTGGTCGAATGCATTGAGAAATGCTCAACCACTATAACACCGTCTTCTATGTGAAATCAATTATTGGCGCGTCGAGACTGTCTGCTCCACTGAGACCATCAATTCAACATACAGACTTACCCACTCAACATATATTCCTATATAGCAATTCTATGTTCGCTGTATATAATCTTTGACTGTCTGCCACTGCGCCGTGATGTGTGTGTTTTATTCACTCGTTTTGTCAAAGGTATGCCAGAGGTATTGTGTTCGACATCACCATATGTCACCATATGCCAGTATTTCTTAATTGTAAGTCGGCTTTCATGATCCGCTTCGCCGCTACTCGTGCCGAATATTCCGAGCTTCACAAATCCTGCGGTTAGCTAACGGTCCGTGTTAGTAGTTGACCAGATGATATATGATTTCAAAATGTCACCCAAGATAATCAACGATATATGTTCAATTCCCCTAAAACATCCGAAAATAAAATGACAATGATACACACGTCATCTCTTTATATATATTTTAAAACAAGAAATAGTTTTTAGACGTGGAATATACATATAGTGATTGACCAGCAAGCAATATTACACTTAGATAATAAGGAATAAGACGTATTTTTTAAGGAATGATGATTTTAAATATTATAAATATTTAGTGCGTGACTTTGCCCATCCGATGTCTCTTACAAAATGGCGACCGATCCATCTGTTAAATTTACCGGATTTTTAATAATAATCGCGGGTGATGCTTAACATATTGTTGATATTAAGTACAGTTACAGTAATGTAATCTGAGTCGTAAACAAAGTTTACAAGCTCAACAAATCCATTAACCCTAATGTTCGGACACCCGTAAACAATACGATAATCACGACTCGTGGAAGTAAATATTACTGCCAATTATTTCCGAGTGTCGTAAACATGGTTAGATACTGTCAACAAAAATTATATCACACTACACCAAGCAGGGGTGAAGTGGAAACACATTTGTTATGATATACCAATCAATAATTGGGAAAAATGAGGTTATCTCCCAATACAACACACTAACGAGCTTTTCAAGCAAACGAAAACACAATTAAAAAGAAAAATTAAGAAGGACACCGAAGGTATTTTCCGGCAGGAGGAAGCGTAGCTCTGTATGGCGCTGTATTATATTAACTACGACTTTCCTCGGGTCCTATACACGGTAGAGATATAGGCAACAAGCTTCATTAGCCAGCAACAAAAGGCGACACAGTCAATTGTGGGAAGACCGTAACACTACGAAGAAATATCCCAGGCTTCGTTTTAGATTGTAAATACTGGATCTGTTTGTTGCGCATCAAAAAGGGAATGTAGCGAATAAACTTAAAGAAGATATACTTTTTTGAAAAACAGAATCACTCGGGTCACCTATCTCACCGGGTTCGTTTTTTCCCTTTCAAGTGCGCATCCTTTTCAGCCGCTGGCAGAGATGCTCCCTCACTGTGCACATTGTTCATCTAGCTTGTTACGTTTTCAGAATAGACTCGGCGCCCAACCTTGCTAGCAACAATAGCAACCAAACTGAAAGGCGAGTCAATTAAACATTGTATTCACTAGTGAAACTCGAGTAGTCGGTGAAAAGAAAAGGGAAAAAAATCTATTAAGATGTGAAAAAAATTAGGACTTTTCTGACATGTTTTTTTTTTCTTCTCTTCCTCTATTCACGATACTCCAGCAAATCCATTAAAATGTTAACAGATTCGTTAATTCGAAATCACAAGTATATAATGTCTTGCTTTTAAACATACCGAGATTTGATTTCATATTAACTGGCATCCAGTTAACGCATCTTTTTTTGGGCATATCGCGTGGCTTATTTTGGTTATCAAAGGCTGTTTTGTTGTTCCGCTCTGTCTAAGATACAGCTTAGTTCACGGAATCATGAAACCGCACACACATGGTATGTTTTTTTGAGGGCGTGTATTGTCGGGTAATACAAGTGACATGATTTCAACAAAACAAAATAACAATCATTACATCTTTTGTCAGAATTATATATAATGTACTAAACACTATCTTTTGACCGACAACGCTAATAAAATGTGTGAATAATAGGTAAACTTAGAATAAAAGTAATTGAAACTAATTATTACGAGTTTTATTTCCTCCGGGAGTTGTTTACATATATATGCGAATTGCGCGTCCTACTATAAATTTAATTTGTGGACAGTTCTATATATTGCTGATTTTTTTCTAACGTTCCTAGTAACTCTATGTTGGACTGAGTCGGCATGTGTACAGCCAGATCTAGTAGACGCAGGTGGTAGTGCCTTTAATACCGTGGTCTGTACGTATCGGGGTCTCGTAACGTGGTCTAGGTGTGCCTTCTGTTTTTGTATGGTCATTGTTTGTATATTGCGCCCCATATACATATAAACAGTGTTAACATTTACTCAAGGAAGCATGGGACAAACAACCCTTGCTAAGGAAATGTTGCCAAATTTTACAAACGAAACACGCCATGTTGCAGCATACGTAATGCATAGCACATGGATTTTCCACGTACTCTTGTGACAGTGCCCGCTGGGGATATTCTATTGTATTAGAGGGAGAGGAAGGATATCCTATTATGTTAACCGGGAAACACTACACTGTATTCGTGGTGGATGAACTTGAAGCTTTTTGTTCACAGCATCCCTCAAAGACGAAAAACGCTGGAATTGTCGACACTTTTGTTTTACAGTAAAGATTGGCACTGGGGAGGGGGTCAATCGGAAGCAACAAAAATTGATATAATGCAATACCACATGACAGCATGGTCTGCATCATAACAATTACCGTTTATATGGCCACTTCAAAAGTAATGACACTATTGCTATTCTAGGCAATAAATTAGCTATCATTTATACGCTATATCGTACAGTGGATATCCACCAACACCTGCGTTTCCATCCTACAGAACGTTTTTGTATGTTTGTCGAATTGATGTTCTACCGTTTTAGGTTTTGCCATGAAAACATAGCATTTTTTGTGATTTTTCGACAAATTTACAATTTACGACATAGCTGTTTTGTTGTCACCTCCCTCCAATTATATGTACATCTGTTGCGATGAAGACACGTTCTCCTTCATTATTCGGTCTAAAAATATATTTTTTAAGATCTCAGTACTTAGTCAATCAGTAAAAAAAAAACACTCTCACCGTCTCGTATTTATGTCTATTGATAACAATAATTTACAAATGAAAACAAAAGATTACAAAACAAAACAATATCTTGCATTTCAAATATTGTGTATTGAATCTTTATGGCGATAAACATTAGCAAAACAAAAAAACATGGCAGTTACAGTAATGTCGGTGTTGTCTTGTCACGATGTTAAAATTCAACTACTATTAATAGTGGTCAACCACAAAAAAATAATATAGTTTACTCACACATTTTCACACGAAAACAACATTTCTCAAAAGCAGTGAATGCAAAGAGGAAAATACAGCAAAGAATATATAATTTCTGTAAAAAAAACTTGACAAAAAAAAATGAACGAAACGTTTCATAGTGAGCTTAAAATGGCCGTTCTGCCAGTGAGAAAAAATATCACGTCTTCCAAATGGACAGTTTATTGAAATATATTGCATTTTTTCAACGTAGGGGGTTTGTTGATATTAATTTTAAATATATAATATATAACATATTTACATTTTTTTCTGCAGATCGCCTACAATGTTCTTTCAAAAAAACAACAAATATGGCCAACCTGGACTCAGTTATGGTCACAATACAGATGGTCATCCATTGCGTACGGTGAATGTAGGTTTTACAACCGACCTCTTTTTTTAACATTTCTTTGTTATAGCAAGAGTTTTATTTAGTGACGGCAATCAGAATTGACCATTGCATGGTGCCTGTGAGTACCGAAGCCGCCCTGACATCACGCCGTCGACACAGTCCCCGACAAACAACCCAAGTGATGCGACTGTGCTGAGTGGGGATCTTGCGAACACGGGTAGATATGATGGTGTCCATGGTGGAAATACTTGGTGTCGCACACGACAACCGGCATTGAGTGGTTATTATCGCCAGTATGGTGGACTACTTTGGCAGTAGGGGCTCCTGAGAAACGTAAATCGTGTCGTGGATCGTGCATATGGCGGTTGATCATACAATGTGGCGACGTCTTTTCCATCATCAGATCATCACTATAAAAAAAAAGAAATGGGATTTACTCATCAGATGTTTATTGATTAATTGTTTGTACGGAAACTCTCCGCGGTATGCATTAAGCCACAATGCTAACTGCGTGTGGACTTTGCTAAGTTGGACCGCTTCAAAACGAACTCCCAATGGACACACAGAATGTTAGCAGTATACGCAAACAATGGGGGAGTCCGTCCGTTTATAATTATATTCATTAAAACACGATATCATTGAAACAAGACCATTTCAAGTCGATAGGAAGAAGAATCACACAGGCTGATCGGGACAAGCACCAGCGACCAAGTGTAAAACAAACAGAATCAGTTCGATCAGTGGCCCCGGGACGTTCCACCTGGACAATCGACACCGGGCGATAAGACGCCCGTGAGATTTCAAATGCACAAGACAGTTGAATACAGTAACATACACGATTTTCCGTAGAGGTTAATTAAATACGAATGAATTGGTGTTCTTTTTCACAGGTTACTCCAGAGGTCGATTGCGAGCATCGACCGGGTATTGGCGGAACCTTGTTGCAACTGTTTACATCATTGGGAACAACGGGAATAATGTTCTTTTTATATTATGTATCCACTCAACAAAAGTAGATTAGAGCATGGAGGTAGCATGGATTAGAGAGATTAAAACGTCGATCACCCGGTGTAATACACAGTATTGTTATTGTGCTATGGAACTACTAGCAACTTTTTTCATCTGCATGCTGGCACGCTGGCGGTTTTGGAACCTTTTACTATTTGATGCTCCAAGCGACCGCATATATATATGGCGTCGGCCCAACATTAAGACTTACATGCGCAATACAGGAAATTATTTACTGATAAATTATGTTAACAAAATTAAATCATTAAAATTAATCTTCATAAAAATTACAGATCAGTTTAATTATATGTCGTGTCGCGTCGACGTACTATGCAGTATACCACAGTCCGTTGAGGGACTGTGAGTATACATAGCCACGTTTTCACTTTTAGGATGATAGTATCCGACTGTTTAACTCCATTTCAGATATGGTTTGTTACGGGGGTGAAATACAGTTTGGTTGGCATTTTATAAAATAGGTATTAAATACTCAAAGATGTCCCTCAATCTGTAAGTATTTATCTACATAAATATATTTACATATTTTCATGTGATCGAAACAAGTTATCATAACTGGTTTCAGTACGTGTTCATTTGTTGCTACGTGAAGTCTTATTCTAAGGGGTATGTCTTCTTAGACGGTCAGTTGCCGCGTTGATAGCCGAATCAATGAGATTAGACTTGCAGGCCCGAGGCCGAGATGGCCGGCAACATAGAACAAACCTGAGTATTTTTTGTAGTACTTGGGGAGGGGCACGTAAATAGTACGCGCGTATTACGGTATAGATTTGGACCTTATGTTTAACTATTACTTTTGAAAATCGTATCTGTTATTATAGCACGAGCTTGAGTTGCGAGTTGCGTAAGTTGTTCTAAAGACAACTTCTTTGAGTAGTAAATTTTCAACAACTTTTTATTTTTTAGTCTGTTTTATTATAAACCAAAATTGTACAATGATACTACCAGAGCTGTGGTCTAAATGGGGATGGAGGGGGGGGGGTGCCGATTCGCCAAATATAAAAACCATGTCAACTGTTTCGTCTAAGGAACTTCCGTTTGTTTTTGCCAAGTGTTTCACATCAAACAAAAGATAATTTTTTTCCGGAGAAAACCATACGCAGAAAAAATATAATCTCAACCCCTAGTGGGATTATAAACATCCCGGATAATAACATGGTTTATGGAATGCAAACAAATACACGAGTACAAGACGGTACGTTTCCTGGCTGGTGATAGCAATAACAGATCCTAGAATACAAGGAAACCACAGCGAGTATTGCCACGTTTCAAATTCACTTGATTTACCTGTTAAGTTCGACCCTATTATAACGAGTACTTGCACTGTAACAATGAGTACAATGTTAATGTTCAATTGGGCTTACGAGTTTGGCTTGAGAGCAAAGTCACTTCATAGTGGCCACACACTGAATGGCTTATCTGAACAGATAATCGACCTTACAATGTCTTTAGTCTCTACGCAGGGCACTTGGGTCGAACGAAGTCAACAATGTGTTGCTGTATTTGTCGTAAGGTTATTCATAACACTTAAGGCTATTTTATAGCAACATACCACGGATATAGACGTAAATACTTTGTCTGTAATGTAATTTTAAAACATTACCAATATTAATTATTGTTCTTCCGGTCTTTAAAATTAACACAACAAATGACAGAAGTAGAACGAATAAATACCTTTTGAGAATCGGCGGTGCCCTGTCTCGTTGTCGACGGTTTTTGAACCAATTGCTGACTTGGGTTAACGTCAAACCGGTGACTTTTGCCAAATTTCGCTTTTCGTCCGGTGTAGGGTAGCGATTCTGTTTATAACACTCTTTCAAAGCCGTGCGCGATTTCTCTTTAAAGCAATACACTGTCTCTTCCCCGTCCCATATAGTTTTTGGGAGAGGGAACTTCCTACGAATGCGGTATTTGTCCACGGCGCCTAGCGGCCGACCGCGGATTTTTTCCGCCTCAATGTAGTGTGCCTTATACCACAGATTTTGTAGTTCGTTGTGACTATGTTGGTCGAAATTCTGACTTTCCATGATAGTGTAAAGTTCTTTGAAATTGCCGCGGTGGAACGCCACGGTCGCCCTGGCCCTGAGTACACTCTCGCTGCCTCGTAGAAGTTCGTTCGGTGGCAGGGACCACAAGAATTGAGCTAACCGGTCGGTGTTTCCGCTCTTCTGTAAAGCTTCGCAGACACATGCTACTTGCTGGGGCGAAAACGTGAGTGAGTTCCCATTATCAGAGTCATTTCTTCCCGGAGATCTCCGCTCCAAGTCTGCACTCACTTTGATGGTGATGTTCGGGTTGACATTTTCTATCTGTGAACTCATCTTTGGGAAACTAATACGCACGATCACGCAGTGTGGAGAGTTCCGTATACGATGCCCCGTCCAGATGGCAACAACGCACGCCGTCGAATGTTTTGGTACACTAATTGCGCCGTCTCTCAAGTACTTTCAGCTGATCGGTCTGTCCCACATAAACGCACTTTATCTCTAATACATATCATTATATCGAAACTCTCGTCCTCAGCGCTGATTGGACGAAGTATAGGACTCCCGGAAGTAGGAGGGCTGGCGCGTACCATTTCATTCGGAGGTGACAGACAAAGTGATGCAAAGTGTGAGCGTGGTGTCTGTGAGTATTGGTATACAAGTAGAGGCAAATAATAAGCCTGGATTGCACAACGTGGCACACACCGTATCCCCCATGGAGCTAAATTCAGAAGTCAACTATAATTATAATTATTGCGTCATCAACAACACACTACATTTTAAAATTCTGAATTGAAAATTCTACATTGATTTTTTGTTTAATACATAAAATAACATTGGGGTAACTGCATATTTTTAGCTCCACGGTATCCCCGACAGCTTGTTATTCGAATTATCCGTTAGTACCTTCCATGAATTATCGAAGCTACATTCTTGAAACGACCTTTCCGGTAACTATGATCAGAATGATGGAAGCATGTATTACGTCAGATGGCTGCCAATAAAACTATTTTGGTATATTTTAGTACTAATTAAAAATAGTTACGAAATATGGATTTCTATCAGATTAAAGGTTTACTTTTTTTCCCGTTATATTTAAAAAAAGGATGATTTTGATGAGTGTATGTAATGAAGTCGTTCCAGATAAATAACGTGCGGTCTAAAATCACAGTCACGTGTCTGGAAACCAAACACACACACTATTTCATGATATGAAAATAACGAGTCTGTTACCTTCAACTAACCGCAAACGTTAGAATATATGTACATCGTTGTTCCAATGAATCAGATTTACAACTTGATGCCATTTTGCGACCATCACTGAAACCATCGACGTACTACTATCAAGCACATCCATGCTGAAACTGAATACGACGTCATATGCGCGAGATACGTGTCACTTTGCTCTCAGATGAAAGAGACGCGATCAGTGTTCATTCTCAAAAAGTAGGCAATCCCTCGAATGATTTCGGTTCATGTACGTATAGAGGTATCGCAGAATGTACTCGTTAGGGATATACACCATGTGGGTACCACAATACGTAGAAGGCTACATTTATCCCCGGCATCTACAAGAGAATCAATTTGCCCTAAATTGAATCATTTAAAGAAACATTACAGTCAAACCATTAGTCTGTTTTGGTTCGAATATCGACTCGGCTGCACCATTTTAACACCGGGTAACCCATATATAAGTCACACATTCGGAAAGAAACAGTTATTTTTCAAGGGTGTTCATGGATATAATTTAAACATGATGATGATTATAATTTATATTCTGTCATTCATTGCACAGGTAATGTAAAAAAAAATATTAATAATGTGCGGTGCAATGGTTGTGTTCCATGTGCGTAATATAGTTTGCATTCTGAAAGTGACATAACAGACGAGTTTCAAAAAAGACCATGCGCGACGGTACATCTCACTTCTTACGTGCAGCCCTTCCCGTGAAAGACACAGGAAACGGGACACCGTCGCTTCGCACTGAAACCTTCGAACGATCAATAACACCGAAGAAACTCCCCCTGTAAACAAACATTCGTTTGTCTTCCTATTGTTCTCATTGTCTCTCATTTAAATTGTTAACAAAGTGAAATTGCCGATGGCGTACACATGGCGTCACTTACTAAAAGTCGTGCTAACTTCAGATCTAAATATAATTTTAGAATTACTCTTTGGTTATGTTGTCATTTTTAGTATACCCATCCGGAGGGCACGTAAAAGTGGATCCCTTGTGTTGATTGTGTCCTCAGCCAACGTATGAAAATGTTGTCGCAATGAGTAGCCGATTGCGACGGGATATCTGGAACTTACCCTAAAAAGAGTGCCCATGGAAGATTACGGTCTAACATCTATAAATAAATCCAAATGAAACTCACAATAAACACTACCATAATAATTGGACTCGTCATAGACTTCCTCTTTATAAGATTTTAGACTCATTTTCTTCTTTTAATTGACCAATTTTACGTGTAACAAATTATGTGTATAATCACTGCTCTAATAGATGCACGGCGATATAGTAATTTGCATAAAACCACAATGGATAATTAAAAATATACATCGTACTACATGTAGACGATTTTGAAATACTGTGATGCTATCTTTGCCAGCCTCGTAACGTATCGAGTCACATGGCGTATACCAAGCCAGTTTTAGAGGACATGACATCACTAAATACAGCAGTATTGCTAGTGACTCGATAAAAGTCAACGGTCAGTACAGGTGTCTATGGCTTGAACCGCTCAAAAAAAAAACGAACGTTAAAATGTTACTATTTATTGGTTTCTTTAGAATTTTTTGGCAAAAACGCACGGGATTGTGTAAATTTCATACTAGTCTGAGTGTAAATATTTTGGCACCTTATGACCAGTTCAATCATTTTTATTTTCTTCAATCAATATACCAATACGTTGTATTCATGGAGGTTGTTTTAGAGATCGACATATCATTGCACATTGTCAGTAACCATGGCTATCAATACCCACACATGAACTAAACATATTACGCTATCATATTTAGCATTATCACATTATTGATTACCGGTACATTGTAGATAGCAAAAAAAAATGATAACAAAATGAGAATCAGAGAAATTCGAACATTTGGATTTGAAAATGATTGATTGACATACAACTAAAGGGTACGTTTGTCAGCGACGTTCGTTCGGCATGTGTGCTACCGAATTTGCTCAAATATTCCACTGATAAAAACGAGGAAGGGTTCTACAGATACAAATGGGAGCAAAGACGACAAACGAATTTCTGACTCGAACGTTTTGGTTTAATCATAGTATGTTAGTTCCGACTTCGACACATAACTTTGTGTTTTTTTTTACATAATTTGACATATTACGGAAACGAAAGCAAAAGATTTCATGTCAATACAAAATAAAAAAAAAAAAAAAAAAAAAAACGAGCCTTGGTTATGGAGTACAGAAACCGAACTGAGCGCCGCTCACATGTACTCAAGTATAAATAATACAAACTTCTCGAAAAATGAATAGTACTGTATACAACGAAGGACACTAAAGCGTTTATATTTTCGGTGGTGAGTGGGGAATCAGTCAAGCAGGAACGCGCAATGAAAACTACTAAATCTACACATTACGCGTAACTCGAATGTTAGTGAACGATATATCGAATTACAATTTGGGCGTGGTTTTGCAAAAGTGGGCGTGGTTCTAAAATATGGGCGATTTCAACATCAGTATATCACAATTCTCAGGCATATGGTCTCACTAGATACGACGGGCACCACTGTACTATTTGGTTAGTTGATCTACACGTTTAATTTATAGTAGTAGCACGCCATTATGTTCGGAAAAAGAACAATACCCAGTAGTAGCGGGGCGACACGTATCAGAAATACACATGGCCACGATGTTCTTATCACTCCGCGTCCCTGTCCGCGAGTGATTTCCCACTCGACATGTGCGAACAACATAAAGGCTTCAGTGTATAATAAAATCAGCATATACTGCCTGATGCCCGAGGTGTGACGTCAATAGCAAGGAGGATAACGCTCCGTTGTGATCGAGTGCAAACGCACAACGACGTACAACCATGGAAGGTAGTACCTTCCATGGTACAACATACTACACATTTATATCAGATCTCTCGCCATCCCAATGTTTGTTCTGTACTCAAACTATTTATCTGAGACTTAAAGGGAAGTGTGCTTCAAATATTGAAACTGTCAACTGTACGACGTTCGGGGCTTAAATAAATATAAAACCTGAATTTTTTTATTCTTTGTGAATGCCATTAAATTTGTAATTTCATCTTTGAAAGATGATCTCGAACTTAAGCTATTGGCTGCGTTCAATTTGAGAGTAAAAGCTTCGATTCCATGTATGCAAATGAGGCCTTGTCGCGTATGCACTATACACGTTTCTGCAGTCAGCATGTGGAAGAAATGTTCACGCTATTTTGTTCTCGGTTGTATATACTAGGCGTCGCGGATAGGCAGATATTTCATGTATCATGGAAATGAGGACTTGGCGCGCCAGCACTACACGCGTGTTCACAGTTAACACGTACGAGAAATGATCACGATATTTTGTATATACTGAAGACGAAGAATAGGTAGACATTCACGTTTCATACACATATAACTACAGCATATCCTCAAAATAATAATAACTCATCTGATCCAGAGCTCGGGCCGGCTGAGAATCAATATGGATTTGGACACCGTGTGTAATTATAACACATACTGTAAGAGAAGACATCGAAAAAAAGTATTTGTGGAGGGGGCAGTAATGGGAATAAATGTGCATGAGAGCATGCTAGGTAATAGAGTAATCATCACTGAATAGGAGTTGTTGTCAGACGAAGATAGTGACTGACTTAACGCATCGAAAAGGCAAATAAATGAGCCAGATTTCAATAGCCAGATTTCCTATGAGAACTCATCAAAAGCAAATCAGCTTTCAACAATGGCGAGGCAAAATGGTTCTGGCGTTCTCTGTCATGAGGAGAATTTTGAAAATACGCCCTAATGGGAGCGAAAACGGATAATCCTCCTTTTTTTCAAGATGAATTATAACGAAAATTCCGCCTAAACAAATGAGCCGCGAGTCCGGAACTTAACAATGATATGACGACATAATCTGACGATCGCGATTTTTTAGTAAAAAAAATCTTACAATTCCCTCAGTTCTTAAATCAATAAGACCTACGAATAAGTGTGTGGATAAAATAATTCATCTATGATGTGGAAATGTACTCGGAAATGTGATTTCTGATTTTGATGAGCCGGAAATTGAAAAAAAAAAATCGTTCGACGGATTAGGCTGGCAATGCCCGGATTTCTATCAATATTGAGTATACAGTTACAGTTTTCTTCTGTAATATTTTGAGTATCGCATCACAATTACACGCCCTTTACTCAATGTACACATAAATATATGAGAAGGTGAAATTATGGTACAGGTATTAAAACATTGTCATGTACTTCGCTGTATT